CGCAGTCGGTTATCGCAGCGGGATATAGCGCAGTGTAATCCAAATACAAGGCAATCTCCTATACAAACTGGATAAATAAGATGACCATTTAATACATTTTTCGTATCCAATTATACGATCTGGCAGCCCTTTAGTCTAGCCGTGTATAACTTCAATCACTATGGCACCCGTGCGCGTGCGCGGGGGCACCGTAGGTATACTCATTAGACTTCGCGTCGCCAGTTATTTTCCTCTCATTAATAAAAACAATAGCAACAGCGTTGTGGAACAGGAAAACTTAAGTAGTAGGTATAAAAACAACTTAATTACACCGCAACACAAACAGAATTAGGAATGAAGTAACACCAAACATTGAGCCGCAAACAAATTACTTCGACGCAGACATCGAACTGTAAACACCCAGCATTAGGTTGATAGCTCCTTAACATATTAAATATCTTATTGCAATGTACAAATAACAATGCGCATTATTCTCATATTACTCGTAGATATAAATAGTTATGGGAGCGCATTATGGTTTATTTATTTATATAAATATATTATTATAAAGTATCGATCTTCACATGTATACTAATTACAGGTATTCACAACAATGTCAGCACAAAAAAATGATGTTCTTATTAGTAGGTATCTATGTAGGTATGTCATGATTGACACCAAGATTTTTGAACCAAAGTAATCATTTAATCGACCATAGCTACATAAGTAAATACAGTACTTACCTACTATATAAATAAGTATTACACCAGCAATAACGAAACTATAAAACTTAAAAAACAAATAACCGATTTCCAGACACTAAAAAGTAAAAAAAACTAAATGGGAGTTTCATTTAGAATAGATACTTAGCTAATCAGATTTTTTCGAACTCCTTGTGCTTTGCTTTGCATCGGCTGGTACCGACTTCGATAATATCTGATTAGGTATGTATTCTAAATGAAAACCTCCGTTTAGTTATTTTTTACTTTTCAATTCCTGGAAGTCGGTTATTATTAAAAAAAATTAAGTTTTTATTTTCCCGTTTTTAGTGTACACGTAATAAGCAGGTAATTTGTAAGAAGAATGTTTTTTTAATAGCAATATATTCGATTAAGCCATTTATATAAAAATAATCGGTTCAGGCGTCTTCGAGTAATCGATGAACGTAATGAAGTAATGAATAGGTACACAAAAATACATACAGACGAACATAGAACCTCCTCCTATTTGGAAGTTGGTTAAAAATACATGTAAAGTGTGAAAGTGGCATTTAATGAAGGCTGTAATTTCGTAAAGGAGAGCATGATTGCTCCTATACCTAATGGTATACGGAGCGGAGCCGAGGCCCCGAGGCCCCGAGGCAGGTGAGGCGCTAGCTTATTTGCGTTTCTTGTCCTCACTAGGTTTTTATAAACTAACGCTCTATTTTACACGTTTTAAGAGCCCTTTGGATCGTTTCTAAATTTGTACCATTTTTTGTCAGCGTCGAGTGACGACTTAAGTGTCTCGAAATGAGTTATTTGTATAGGCTCTTAGCGTTCCGGTGCGGGACTGTGTCGATGATGCGCAAATACGGCGCGGCGTGTTGACTGTGGTCTGTGGCGATGCCGGAGTATCGTCTCTTTGTTCCACTCGCGTGTACGAGAGCTGCGTCCAAGTGACGTTACGGATTTCAGGCTCGGCCGATAGGATAACGACTCCCTAATGAGTCGGTTCTGCGAGCTCCGTTGTGGGTGGCGATGGTTATTTAATGGTTTATGTTAACGCGGTATGCGGTCGGGATCCCACGGGGCACCACGAAATCAGAATATCAGGAAATGCAAGGGTTAATTAGCGGGCATGTTGAGGAAGTAGCGTGTGGGTCCTGGCAAGTGGGCGCGCACGTGCGAGCCAGGACACGAGCTTGTCCCCATATGTCACACTTCGTACCCACGCACTCGCACATGCATGCTATCGATGTAACGAACCGAGGATTCACTGTTTGCTGTATGATGCGGGCTTCTCATTTATTCTTAAATTACTTACACTTTTTAGAAATTTCTAGTAAAATGTCCACCAGTAGGAATCATATTTATTTTAAATAACGAACGACGCAATGTTGTTTAAAAATAACTCAAGATTCACTTGCTGTTATCATTTAGTATGTATTAAACATGCTACTTATCTTAAACTTAAACATTTACATAATATCATAAAGTCTTTACAGCATATTTCTCCATAAAAATATCTCAGTGAAAGCGTAACAATAACTTCCCTGGTCTAGCTACGAGTATGTACTCACTAGCGAAGTGATGATTATTACTAGTATTTTGTTTATATTAGATAAAAGTTATTTGAAGGTTTATATATAAATTAAAAGTTATATTTGTATGATTAAGGCAGTTTGATTACTTCGCCTTTGTATTTAGTCAGGTTATAGTTTAATTATATAGATAACTGTTATCTGGCGATTTAAAATCTTCTCTCAATTAAAATGGTCACTTTAAACTAACATAAATACATACATAGATTTGAAAGTTACTTCAAAAGAAAAAATAATTCTGGCCTAAGGAAAGATCTTTTACTTTTTTATGGATTAAGATGGGTACGATGCTTGAGATATACTTACCACGCCACTCGTGAATCGTGATACACACAATTGGCAAAGACGTCGTATCATGCAGACAAAAGTAAGATATGAACGTAGATGCTCCCGAATTGAGTTAATATGTTTTTGTGGTAGCTTCCTAACCAACTTACTACACTGACGTTTAATTTTAATTGAAATGTTAAATTGATGATTCAAAAGAGCTTGTAAAAGTCTATTGAATAAAGTATATTTTGATTTGATTTTAAATCGACCACAGATTATTAGTATCAACTATTTGTTAGAAATAAGATTTAAGAATGAATCTAAACGTAAAGAATACATTGGCGATGGATATTTATAATATTTTTTACGACATCCGGGTTCATGTTGCCGCCTTATGCGGCTCTCGGGCGTCCTCCGACTGCTTTGGTTATCTTCCACTCAAATAGGGCTACCTACGACTGTTCCGTGTTATTTGTTTACATTTCATTCAGAAACGAACACCTATAAAGAAGATGACTATAAAAATACAACGTTAATTAGATTCCATTTAAGCCTTGCATTATCACAGTTTATGATTTTCATACATAGGGATTAAATTCTTACCAGGTACATATTTATTTATATAAATAAATATAAATATGTAAAGTATATACTTAGTAATTACACATAGACCAATTATGTGGCTTAAATAATGAATGTTATATTTTATATTTTTTCTTTATGGCTTAAATTTAATAATGGCAACACTAAATATAGATTACTAATTAATAATTTTAAAATTATAATAATTATAATGATAATAGCAAAAATTAAATAAATAATATTCCATATTCAATTATAAAACTAATTAAAATTATAAAAATGTTTAAAGTTATAAAATATTGGAAGGTACTTCTTACAATTTTTCATTTTGTTATTTGTGGGTAGGCTGTCTGTAACAACTATACCTTGGAGACATCTAACATCTGTCTCTCCCGTGACCATGATTGCTGTAAAGCATTCAAAACGTCGGGAACCAAAAATCAAAATAAATCCGCGACATAATCCGAAAAGATAGTTTTATTTAAAATGTCAAATATTCGCGTAAATCTAAGAAAGTATTACACATGTATAACTTTAAATACATATTATAAATATAAACATCCACATCCACCAGTACAAACGTTCGTGCTCACCACACAAATGAATGCCCCCAGCGGGACTCGAATCCGTGACCGCTGGCACAGCACGTAGAGTCACTACAAATTGAGTCAAAAATTAAAATTGATATAGGTATGTTTACTATAACCAATGTTATCGTTTTTCATCAATATTATTTTTATATCAACCATTTCTATTTTTAATAAATATATCTATGTATATTTATTAGGTGCTAAATTACTTTGATATAAGTATGAGCATGTTCGAAACAATACGTTCTCCTTTTTTTAAGTGCCTAAATAACTCTTTAACAATTTGTACCAGTTTATGTCGATCGCAGAACATGTAAACGGTAATGAGTAGTGTCGCCGAGTCGTTAGTGCATGTAAATGAATGCAAGCGGGCCGAGGGCGCGCCGGGAGGGCCGCGGGAGGGTGCGCGAGGGCCAAGGGTGGCGGAGAGGAGGCCGGGGGAGGAGGTCTCGATAACGCATCTACTTCCGAGACGTTACAAGCCATTAGACGCGCTCCACTTGTGGACTATCCTAATTTTAATGGTCTGTCACGAGAATAAGTGTCGCGATCTTTTAACACTATTTTAAAATGAGCAATCACAAGCTGGACACGTTAAAGGCATACTTTACTTCATAAAATGCTATGTTTCTATTTTTATAGTCACAATTTCATATTGTTTCTCCAAGGGCATTCCCTGAATATATCTTTTAATGTACGTATTTGGGTATTTCTCCGAGATTGCGTTCTTCGTCTGATTAATCTGGCCAAAAAATATTTTTATTTTTGGCTCTATTCAACATACTCTTATGATTAAAGACATGCCAAATAATATTTTATTTTGGCCAGATTAATCAGACGAAGCACGCAATCTTGGAGAAATACCCATTTACCTATTCGTCAATCCAAAATAAAGAGAAACCCTTAAACGATTATGATCAAATTCCCTGTTTGTGACATATAACTTTTCTTCGAAATATTATGACTCCTATGTAGGAAGTAGATCCTGATTTCTAGGCACCTAAGATGTGACACATCGTTCTATTGTTGTTTTTGTCACGAGACCCAACTAAACATGGTTTCCGTCGGTCAAATAAGCGATGCTGAACTTTGGTTCGTGTCGTTACAATGAGATCGATGAATTTTAAAATATAATAAATTTTAAGATTGTTTATGCTACAAATTACCTATTTACTGGTGTCTTTATATTTTTAACTATTATTTATACTCCTATCTAATAAAATATTTTGACTAAGTTAACTTATTTAATTTTCTAATACGAATGTATGTACGACCAGTGGTGGCGGAGGAGGCGGCAGCTCGGTGTACACCCGCTGCTCGTACCCGGCTGCAGGCTCGCCCTACTTCAGCAACGGGAATGATCTCACCCAGCCACAGATTTGGACTACTAATGCTGGTATGAATATTTTTAAGAGTGACTCTTATATAATTGAAAATACCTTTGTATACATTTACATATATACCTACATAATTTTTTTCTAAAAGCATAATAAGTAGGGATATCTACTAGCAAAAAAGAAAAACAAAATCAAATCTATCCCACGGAAACCGTTTATTTTTCCAGGATGAATAGTAGCCTATATATTATTCTGATGTATGAGCTACCTATACCTATTATTGTTAATCTTCATTAAAATCAATTCAGTATTTTTTGCTTGAAAGAGTAACACACATCCATACAATATCAACAAATACAAACATCCTAACAAACTTTCGCATTTAAAATATTAGTATTAGGATTATACCTAGTAAATCTAATTAGAATATACCTATGTTCTATTCTAAAATGTATCAGATAAGCAGACAGATTATAATAGGTACTAATAAGATATATTAATATGAAATTGTTGTCATTAATCCGGCTTAAAATAAATATTTACAAAACTATCCCAAACTTAGATATTTGAGAATTAGTCAAAATAGCAGATGATCTAGGATTTCTAATATGAATAATCTAATATTGCGGTTGCGTTTGATTGTGTAAGCAGGAGGGTCGCCCACGTACGGCGCAGGCAACACCGGCGCGGTGCTCGGGGAGGAGTACGCGGAGAGCAACGAGACGGTCGAGGGCGCGGCCGGGGGCGGCACGCTGCCCGCCTTCAGCGCACGCTTCGGGGGCGCCTTCGCCAACACCTCCCGACCCTCGGCGGTCTACGGCTCGTCCGCCCTCACCGCTACCTACACGCATCCGGTAACTATTCATTTACTTGCTTTTTACAAGTTTTATGTAAACTTATCCGTTTCATCCGTTATAAGTTCGCAATTCATTTTCCAAACACTTACAGGTATTTGATTAAGCTGACATTGGGCGTGTAAAATAATTTCCATAGCCATATTGAAGGCATCACGAATCTGGTTTTATCATCATAAACAGGACGAAAGTAATCGTAGGAACTTGGGAATTATAGAATTAATTTGGCTTGTTTTAAAGAGCATTAGCGTTCCTTTTAGCTATTTTATAACTTTATATTGATATAAATCCAACAAAAATGAAGTTAGTAGATACCTACTTGCCTAACTGTACTATAAGATACTCGTAGATAGGTAGATATACTATCGCGCCAGCTTATTATGATGTAAACAAAAGCTTCAATTATTTTAGTTCAATTGAAATACGCATAATGGACATACAAGATTAAACATAAAATTAACTACATATATGCCTTATAAATAAAATTGTATAATTCAACTCATGCGTCATCGTCTACTTAAATATTTTCTATTTTACATTTAAATGAATGTTATCATTATAATAGCTACAACGCTCCCATACATTTTATTGGTGAATTAGCCCATATTAGTTGTATTTACGTCACTGAAGTTACATTGAACCGGGGGCAGGTTCCGTGAAGGCAATAAGCCGCTGATAACAGCGCCGTGCTCAGTGGCGCTTGACGAACACTTTCCAAATCGCATGAAATTCATATTAAAACGTATGTATCCCCACTAAATACTATATGATATCATGTCTTCGCGCATCAACTTTCTTTTTCCACGATAATAAATAAGTATCAGGTAAATAATCGGATTATTAAAAAATAATAGATATTAAATATAGTTAAAAAAAATCTAAATGAAACTTCTGCGAAACAATTAATTTAAGTTTTTATTCTTATCCGGGATTCCATAGAAACTTCCATTATTTTCCTGTATCATAACATCCATAGATGCAAAGTAGATATTTTTGATTTTGAAAGTTTAGTATCTTACCTAAGTTTATGACTAACGGTCATACAGACATTTTGTTGATTTGAGGTGTGTTAGCTTGTCATGGGTGAAATAAATAGGTATATCGGAAAATGCGCGTCTATTATTTATATGTATGTAAAAAATACAAAATTTCTAAAAACTATACATTCAGCCTCTGTATCGATAATTAATAAATAATGCCTAATTACTTATTTCAATAAGTTTTTCCAAAAAATATTTAATGTGCAAATTCGACCCAGTTAGTATTTTATTATATGTATAAAAGGTAGGTATAGGTCTAAGGTGTCGATATCTTTCATTTGCCATACAATTAGATATTTTTTCTAATGCTAGCTAACGCAAAAGTAAATTTTCAATTTGCAATTATTTTATGTAAATCATGATTAACGCTTGCAAATTCACTTGTGTGTATTTTAGCAAATTTAGAGTAGTGACTTTAAATAAATATGTTATTCTTGTTATACCTGAATAGGTATGTATCGACTTACTCAATTCTTGGAAACATTGCACAAAAATCGCAATGGCTTAGAAGTTTAGAGAACAGATACAATAGGGCTGGGGTTGCCCCGCGATAAGCGATAAGCGATGAGCGATAATGACCGTAAACAATAGTAATTTGGGTCCAAGTATCTTCGAGGGTGAAAAGCGTTAGTCATACTGCATAATTATCCTTGTGCTATACTGTTCAAATATTCAAACTATTTGTACTTACTTCGTCCTAATTTGTTTATTAAGTAATAATTTTGTTACATTTTCAAACCTACACAAGTATTTTTTTGTCCGACCAGTAGATACCTACAGGATATTCAAACCACAATTGCAATATTTAGTTTATAAATATGTACACGCTGTTGAATATTATTGTACTTCTAAATAATTATTTAAATTTGGAAATAATCATACCTTTTCCTCTTGTTTTTACTTTTTATTCTAAAGTTTAAGAATTTGAATACATTGATTTTAAAAATGCCTGGACTGATGGAAAGTACATTATCCCTGTTGAAAGGCGAATCTGTATATCAAACATTTTGGAGTACAAACATTCGTGCTCGTCACACAAATTAATACCTGAGCGGGACTCGAACCCGCGACCGCTGGCTCAGCAAGTAGGGTCAATACAAACTGAGCCAAACGTGCGGTTAAAACTTAAATAGGGATGAACCCGAATGGAGCGAGGTTGAGTCGCTAGTAGTTCAAAAATATTCTGATCACTCACTATTCTATACTTATACTAAGTATGTAACTGTGATAAGAATGCATCAATGACTTATAAAGAATTATGTTTTATAAAGTATTTAAACAAACTAATTCTACGTAGTAATATTGAACATAATAATTATAATTCACTCCGGTTTCCAGGAAGTGTGGAGCTTGGACGGAAGCCGACGGTCGCAGCTCTCGGCCGCCGCCAGCCTCTCAGCCAGTGAGTGCTGTTATCAATTATATACAGACATATTCAATTGTATTAGCCCTTTATTATTACCTTCTACAAGCTTATGATTAAATAATGATAATAAGGACTAGACTAGATTAAAAATCACAAATAAAGCAAAATTTAACTTTTATACATTTAAATTCAGATTGTATTTTTGTCAATTATTTAGGTAAGTACCTACTTAGAAAAGTATGTAACTACATGCTAAATGATATTATTTTGTTTTGGTAATAATGAGTACAAAAACTTTGAGCATATGTTAATGTCCGGCAAATATAATTAGAGTAAACAAGTAGGTATGTTTGTCGGTGCGCCCGCGCAGGCCGCAGCACGCGCGGTGACGCCGCGCACCGCGTGATTCACCATTGTTTGCTTGCACCGTCTTTGTTCATTTCACAGCCTTTTGATACTTTTAAAACAACGTTCAAACCACTTTCGATTGAGTTATATTAGAACTTTCAAAAGATTTATTTGATATACATGTGGGTTTACCGTTTACCCAACAATACTAACATAATAATTTAAAAATAAAAATACGTATATATAATTCTAAATCAATTCGTCTGTCTGGACTATGTACTGCCTTCTATTTATATTAGTTGTGTTGGTTCATGTTATGTACTTAATTAAGCATATATTTTTTATAAACCAAATTAAATATAAGTACAAGTTTTGTATAAAAACTATAACAGGGTGTGAAGTGTGACAGATTCATCTATATTTATTGTTAGTAAAAGATACTCGATACACAAATAACGATTTCGATAACAAAAACGAGCGGCTACAGTGGTGTGAGTGGCGGCTGTAGTGGTACAGACAGTGCGAGTGCGCGCGTGTGTGTATTGTTTTTGTAGGGGTCACGCGATAACTCGCTGTCAAAACTCATATTTTGAACAGTATAAAAACTACATAGTTATTGATAACTCATAAATGCGCGCCGATAAGCCTCGTCTATTGTCTAAAGTCACACTATGTGAGGATGCTTTTTTAACCACTTGAACCTTCGTCCGTCCTCAGAGTTTCGTTAATTTCAGTTTTGTGGCCCATTAAATAATTAATAGCTTTTCTTTGAAAGGTTACGGCACTTAAGTGCTTTAATAAACATTTTGTGTGTTTTGCGAGTCGAGTGTGAAAGTAATGCCGTAAAAGTTTCATAGGTTTCGGTACCTACTGTTTTTCCTTTTTACTTTTAGAAACTCGCGCCTTGTAAAAACTGCAATCGAGTATAGTAAAAGATAAAAACGTATCAAACGTCTTTAGACAGTGCTAGCACGGACTGGGACATGTAGACGTAGTGCCATACATAGTCGAGGCGTCACAGAGTGTTTGCGTCGGTCCCGACAAAAAACGATGTCCTCTTTTTTAAAATAAACTCGTTCCCTTTTAAGCGCATTAAAATCGCATTCCATATACGGCCTCGGATAAGGCACGTGCCGCGCGCAAACACGACGTCCGGCGAGCCCGCGCCCCGACCCGCGCCGCTGCTAGCCCCTCAACTGTCACAAAAACTCAATGTTGTCAAACATAGGCTTGTGCCTGACCCGAACCTTTTTTTTCATTCAAAAATAAATGTGGACATTACAATAAATTTAAATATATATTTAGTTAGCGATTGTTGACCGTAGTCACAAGCTACAACCATATATTATTTTCTCTGGATATCATCATCATGTGTTAGAGCTTTGTATAATCTTTCTAGTAAGTACCTATAAACAAAGTAATCGAAGTATAAAAGAAATCTTAATGATCAATAGGTGTACGAGCATTAATTTAAAAATGAATAACCTTTGAGATCCGCCACAGTCGGATAATAACTGAAATTTACAATGTGTAGCGACACTATTTGGTCAAATAAATAAATTTTATTTTTGGTGAATTCCAAAAACAAAGCAGCCTAGAAGCACATGTCAGGTAATATAATATTACATCTATTGCTCTTTTATTACGTAATAGAATTGTATTTACATATTTACGTTAGCGCAGTAGCACAGTGGTAAGTGGTTTACTGAGTAGTTGACGCGACGGTCGGCGGTCGCTGCGTCAGCACCGAGGCTCGTGCTTATCTCAGCAGAAAGCTCCGTCAGTGCACAATTAACACCATTACGACGAGCTTGCTCAGTGACGTCACTTGCACTTTTAAATTACTTAAGACAATTACAAGATCCATTTGCCAGGTACTTTAGATATCTAAATGTCTACGGCTACTGTCATACTTTCTTAATAATTAAAAATGTTATCTCCCAAAATTAAAAGAAATAGGTCCCTTAGTAATTCTACCACTAAAATGTCCAATAAGTTATTATATTAGTAAATATTTTCATCTTATCTGATCGATGTCAGCATATGGCCCTCTCGTGTAAGTTCGAATGATTCTAATAACGCAATGCAACATCATTCGTAACAGGATACCCCATACGTTATCTGAGCAAAACTGTCATAAATGGATTTTTTATGTGAAACACATTTGGCCATATTCTCATCTATCGACTCTACAAATAAATGTAAAATATAAATATTATTATCTTTTATTTTAATTCTACCATGTGTGTGCACTGCATAGAATGCGACAATTTCTCACTTGCTTTGTTTTGAAACGCACAAAGCAGTACTTAATAGGTTGCAAGTTATTGCCTAGTTGAGTGTAATAGTGAAACATGAAACTATGGCGCATTCTCGTATGTAGTGCATTTCTGAGTAGAACGGTGTGTGCGAGTGACCCAGCGGCACAATGGCGCGAGTTAAGTCACGAGCGAGGCGCGGAGCACGCGCGGCCTTGCTGCCGACTCAACGCGCGCCTGACTCACGGCCACGGCCAAGGTCGGGTGCGACGCTCGGTCCACCTCGGGGCGGCGCTGACTGCGTCAAATACATTGTCCATCTTCAAATAAATCGAAATCGCCAATGTGGACAAATGTAAACTTGTACCATCCTCGTTTTACTTGCGCTGCGGATTACGTTGCAGGAGGTACCTACGTGATACGTCTTGTTATAGCCTCTTAAAATATAGAAATATTTAGTTATGCTCAAAGGTTTTGTGTCTCTTTAGTAGAACAGGTATATATACTCGTAGCTAGCATTAAGTGTGGTATATAATATACGTAACTGTAGTGTATAAATGACGCTCGGGCGCTGTGGGATGCGCGACATGGGCGAGGCTGAGCTAATGGTGTGTTGTAGTCGAGATGGCGGAGTTTTTCACGGAGGGGCGCGAGTGCGTGAACTGCGGCGCGATACACACGCCGCTGTGGCGCCGCGACAACACCGGCCACTACCTGTGCAACGCGTGCGGGCTCTACAACAAGATGAACGGCATGAACCGGCCGCTCAAGCAGCCGCGGCGGCTGGTACGTCAGCGGCACGCGGCGCACGCGCTGGCGCCCGCCCCCGACGTACGCAGACACGCCCTCCGCTCGACTAACCCCCGCCTCCCCTCGCCCTCGCCTCGCCCGCGAGGAATCCGCGCCCGAGCGTCCCCCGAGCGAGTGAGCATAGACAATGACGCTTAACTGTTGGTTGCAGTGGCAGAGGGGGCCCCGCCGGGCGCGGATTTCTACAAGGGCTTCCTGTTTAACGGCGTCCCGACGCACGGCTTGCCCGCGTCCGCGCCGCTCTGTACGCCCGCGCTCGCCGTCTCCACTCCCCCCGACTACAAACAGAAGAAAGGGGTACGTCCACCCCGAAGCGTCCCGACCCTCCCCTTCTGTCCAGTCCGCTCCGCGTCCGCGATAATAATATCGCCATTCCCTTCCTGTTGATTTATATCTTTCAATTTTATTTATATTTACTACTAAGTCCCTTGATTACCTACAAGTAATAGTTTATTAAACTCAACTAAGCCCTTGCCTCTCCTCACCGATATATTTAGATCCTTGTCCTGTTAACCCTAAATCTATCCTACCATTAACTACACCACGCTTCCATGCTACTGTCATATTCATCTTTAACGAATGCTACTAATCCTTTCTGTGTTTTCGGGAGATTCTTTTTGTAACAATATATAGCTAGCAGAATTAAAAAAAACAATATTTTAACTTTATAGGCATGTAACTACATTATACCTATGTTACACTTACACAATCACGTTGTATTAATATTTAACATTAAATAAACTTGAAATAGATAGAATTTCAAAGCAGAGAAGCTCCCAGAATCCCAGCCTGCTTTCTTATTTGCATGACAACTCTAGCATAAGTTTAAATTTAATTTTGTTTCGATCCAATTGATTTAGTAAAGTATCATATCTTTCCAAAAAATATTTAAAATAATTATTGCCTAATATACCTGTTGTCGTGTCAAGTCACTGTATCTGAATGAAAATAACCGTTTAGGATTATTTCAATTCATACAGAAACAGACAAAAAAAGTTCTATAACAACAATTTTAGCTATTTTGTAAAAACTCGTTTAAAATTCGAAAACTACAGCATGGATTGTCTTAAGTAACCGTCCTCGTTGACTAGAAAAAATAGACGGACAAGACAAAATTTTTATACGAAATTTTTGTTTGTTTTCAGGTAGTACCTAAATACTTCATGATTTTATTGTTTAAAAATCTAAAAATCAATGACATAACTATAAATTCCGATCTTATAGTGACTATGAACTTTTATTATTATATTAATCCAAATTGGATTAAAAGTTCGGGAGTCTCTCGAGTCTAACTCGCGTCGCTACCTTGCAGATGGGCACGAAGCGGCCGGGCATGTCGTGCAGCAACTGCCAGACCACGGCCACGTCGCTGTGGCGCCGCAACGCGCACGGCGAGACCGTCTGCAACGCGTGCGGCCTCTACTACAAACTGCATAATATTAACCGTCCCATGACCATGAAGAAGGATTCCATACAGGTAGCGTTAAATGACTTATTGATCACAGCTTATTTGGGATATGTGTGGAGGAATAAATGTGTTTTGTAAAATTTAGGATTTTTTAACTTAAAAACATTTTTTTATTAACAATTCAAATGATAGTGGTACTTTTTCTTTAGTTACAATTCATCGTATGTCAAGTCTATAGTGTATGTATCTATACGGTACCTATACGGTAAAAGATTTTAGTTAATAAGATTCTCATTTTTGGTCTAATTATTTTCAGACGCGTAAGAGGAAACCTAAGAATAGTATAAAAGCTGAGAGGACCCTAAACAAGAACATCAGTCACGCCTTGCACGCCGCCAATACCGGCAGCGGCCCTTCCGTGAAACTTGAAAACCTATGTAAGTCATACATTTCATACCTTACATTTTTTTGCTTTTACTTGAATAATTACCAAACATGAGGGCATTCATTAATGAATATATATCATAAATTCGAATTTAATTGTTTTTTGTCGCGTTAAAATAAAAAAACTGAAACAGGTTTAAAATTTCCAACATTGTATTGTATGTAATTATACTCGTATAATAGATTTAATGATTTAAATTTGAATTTCCAGTAGAAGGCGGTGGTGTGACGGCGGGCGGGCGCTCGCCGCTCACACTGGGCTTCTACGTGCAGCAGCACGGCGTGAAGCTGGAGGAGCCGCCGCCGGCGCACGCGCACCACGCGCCGCACGCGCCGCACGCGTCCCACGCGTCCCACGCGTCCCACGCCCACCACGCGTACTGCGCCGACGCCGACTACCGGCGCGCCGAGCCGCAGGAGCGCCTCGACCGGCCCACAGTCGTGTCCCTCGGCAGCTGAGCTCTGGACCGCGATCATCTCAATAATAATAAGAATCTCAGTCGTGTAAGCTATGTTAGGTCTATCGCTAGTTGACCAAAGACGGCGGCGGTCCGCGTACAGACGCCCACAATACGCCTCTTCGACGTCGATTAGAATATATGAATAATTATTTTATAGAAAATTCTATGAGTACAAGCATTTATAGAAAATATTTAATTTACACTAAATTTTTATAGTACCAGTACTAATTTACATTAGTGGAAGCTCGAGTGCTAAGTTAGGAACAAATGAGCGGACGTCGCGTCCCCGCGTTCTGTTACCAAATATTATACCTATGTTTATGTACCATAAGACTGCGCGAAGCATTCCGACGCGTGACGAGTTGCATTCCTACATAGATATATCGCGTTAGTTACGTTAGTTTGTAGTTGCTCTGCAGAGGCTGTTCGCAACAAACGAAAGTACACTTTGTATTTTGATATTATTATGTGTTGATTTTTATTGTATTTTAAAGCTCCATGACTTCAAGATGCATTCCGAATTTATAGATTAAATGTTTACATGTTAAGACTGTATTTTAAGACATATGCAAATATTATACTATAAGATGTCACCAGAAGAGCCACAGTTCCGTTACGAGTGGGAAGTAAATTGGATTTATCAAATTATGGTTATATTTTAATTTTTATTAATTATTTCGATAGTCTATGAACAAATGTACGTACAGTTCCAACATTACCGAGTGGCCACTCTCTATTAATTAAGCATTTGTCTCCATCTATGACTTGGCTAACGGAAATGTGAGCTGGTAACGGATCTGGTTTATTAAAGAAAACATAATATATTTTTCCTTTACATTATTTTGGGTAAAATCTGTACGTATTTTAAATATGGTACAGTTGTTTATAACTACGTTTAGAGATAATTGATTACCGTTCAATATGTTGTCTTGTCAGACGGTCGGCGACTCCGTTGCATCAGTTGCTCAATAACTATTGTAGGATCGGTTTCCGTGAGTCAAGGTAATGTAAGAGCTGTAATAGAAAATCGTTCAACTGAGATGTGAAGACGCCGACAGCTGCGATCTCTCTGTAACCTACATAGATCTGACAGTACTATAATAATATTTAATTATCTCACTGCGAAATGTAGTAGTTTTAAAAGAAATTTATATAAATATATAATAATTGAAGTGAATATTTTGGTAGACGTTGCTCACACGGCGCGGCTCGCGTGCGCGCTGAAGTTATATTATTTATCAAGTTGCGCCGCGGCGCAGGCCACAGGCGGCGCGTCGCGGCGCGGCCCTTTTATGTAAATATAATATAAGCAAAGTACACTTTAATAAATCAAATTATTAATTCATTTGTATTTGTTTTATTTATAAATTACTAGCAAACAAACCTATCCCACGGGACCCGAACAATTTTCCGGGATAAAAAGTAACTTCTGTGCTATTAATAACTATTATAATCTATCTCTGTGCGTTTCATCCAGATCCGATCCTCCGTTCTCGCGTGAAAGAGTAACAAACATTCATCCATCCATCCTCACAAACTTTCACATTTATAATATTAGTATGGAGTAGGTATGGATATCGTAATATTAGTATGGAGTATGGATACAATGTTAATTGCGTTGTTATTGCTACAAAGTAAATTATTACGAAAAGCTTTTCTTAAGACAATAAACAAGATCTTTGAGTAAGCAATTTCTCAAATATCATCGTAAAGAATATAAGTGTGTCGGTAGCGTAAAATAAATTTAGCTTATCACAGCTGGTGAGTGCAGGTGTAACTTACAAGATATGTTCTTTATTCAATGATTATTTCAATTCGGTGTTTGAAACTCCTATTCCTATTCGGTCGCAGTTATTAAACCAACGCCTAGTTGCAATATTTCTATTAATTCAATTGATGTATTAATTATAAAAAAATTAAGTTCAGACCACTTCAGTCAAAAATTTTCGTTAACTAACAATATTATCGATAAAAGACAAAAAATTAAATGTAGACCTTAATGTAAAATTTAATTCTACTTATTGTGACTACAATAAGTAGAATTAAATTTTAATTACAATTAAATTCTCCTGCAAGTGACATAGCACTTGCATAAAATGGAAATGATTTTAGATAGATTGCGACTGGCAAACTGTTGGCATATACCGAAGTAGAGATAAATTATATGAATTGTACAGTGTGAAGCAGTGGAATCTTGAGCCAATGTTCCATAGTCGGTTCAAAATTTAAAATAAATGTTTGTATCAAGCTAAGTCTATATTTTTAGAAATAAAATTCTAAATTCAGAAAATAAAATGAAAACCACTTGGGATATAATTACTCGTACGGCTGGAAGATCAAAGGTGTCTAGTGAACCAGTGAAGCTAACAATAAATAACGTAACACTGAGCTTAGACGAAGATGTTGCAAATACTTTTGAGAATTATTTTTCGAAAATCCCAATAGAGGTCACATCTTCTTTAAAATCACTATTTTTTAGAATTTTGAAAAATGCTAAAACACGTATTTATTTAATTGTATTGATGAGCATTAATGCCAAATTTCAAGTAATTCTAAACATAAATATTTTTTGGATTGTATTATAACGTGTTTTCCCGAGTGAATGAGATTATTTCCATGGTAAAAAGTAGCCTATGTCACTCTCCTGTCCTCCAATTATATCATAAAAATTACGCCAATCCGCGCAATTTTGGCGAATATAAATGGTGGACAAAAAATCTTTGTTTGTGTTGTCTTCGTATACCTAAAGATCTCTATCACTAACCATTTAAGTTTGTTAAATTCTAAAAAAGTTTTCAGCATTAACCTATTACATTTTTTTTAATGATTCCACTAATTTAAAGATGCTAAAAACTGAGGAAAGAAACTCAACGAGACTAAAATAAATCTTTTTTTCTTTCATTAAGTAACATTTGATTGGAAATTGAATTATAATTTGGCGGTGACATTAAAAAAGCTTTCACGAGCTCTTATTGTCCTACACTCCAGAAAAAAAATCATTTTCTTTAGTTTAAAAAATAAAAATAAATAAATATATTGGGAAATTATCTCATAATTCACCTTGAACGTATATTTTTTTAAGTTTGTTTGGTTGTTTGAATACACTAATCTCAGGAACACTTTTTGCATTAGATAGCCCGTTTATTGAGGAAGGCTATAGGCTATATATCATGATCCTGCTAAGCAAGGGAGCGGAGAAGTAATCATAAATGTCAACAAATCGAGCAAACTGCCATACATTATTGTAAAACTGATGTTTATATGTTTAAGTGCTTTAAGCTCAAAAACTACTGCGCCCATTTCAAAAATGCCTTTTTTGGCTTTATAGCCAAAGTGTTCTTTTTTGTAGTTTTAGTGCGAGCGAAGCCGCGGGTTCTGCTAGTTATCTATTATTGGGTTGCTACTGAGACTAGTATATAAGAATTAGTAGATTTTTTCAGAAGAATTTTAAATAGAAAGAAAAACTAACATTACCTCGCCGCCGTCGGCAATTCTTACCGACGCGACGCTACTGAGATATGAGTCGATAAAAATAGCGGCATTTGTTCTTCAATTATGTCTACACGTATTTTTCACTATTTGTAAGATTATTTTCTTTTTCTAGTACAACTAATAAGAAATGTATCAAACAAGACACTCGCTAGAAGACCATTAACATTTAAATACAGTTGCAATTTTAATCACTATAACATACCTATTTAGGTTTTGATATTGTAACATTAAAACATAGAGAAAAACAATTAAAATCGTATTGAACGTTTGAAATTTAAAAACTAATCACATTCAATATTAACCCCTTAACAAAATTGCTTCACCTATGGAGGGTGCTCCATAGCTTTACCGTAATACCGTAAATGATTCTAACATATCTTAATACTTTAATAATTTTCATTTGCATTTCATAAATTTTGTCATGGTTATGTTCAATTTTGAATTTGGACGCTCTCTTTTAAAGAAATACTACTCGCTTCCGATTACAATATATCGTTCTAATTATAGAAATTATCCAATAGAAATATTTGGAAAAATCGTACTCATACTTAACAAAATTATAAGATTCATTTGATTTGAGAGCCTTCTCCCGGGATTAATGAGTTGGTAAAAAGGTGTGTATTGTAATAATGGTTTAAGCTTATAATGTATATATGTATTGGGAAATATGCTGAGTGTATACCTGTGAGTAATCGAGCACGGCGAATATACGTGATTCAGACAGACTCGTGGAGGGGTGCCGGGTGGCAGGGGGGGAGGCCCTGAAACAATATGGCGCCTTATCGCGTCACGTGCCGCCCCGCACCGCACCTCGTATATTAGCTTTTCACGGAAAATATTGGAAAAAAACAACTGATAAGATCGTGATGAGGTCGATCGGCCATCAATAATCCGCGGACGTACATATCAGATCGGCGTCGGGATTACGATCGGCCCCGCGCGCCACGTGACCACTCCGCACCACACTCCCTACCCACACTAGCACTGCTCTCACTGCTCCACTGCATCAGTTAGCCGACCAGCAGACCGACTGCGAACACGTCCACTCCCGACAGACTATCTCGGCGTGTCGCTTGTAATGAGCGGGGTGAAGATACGCGCTCTCGTAATCAAATCTGTGAGCATATCTGATAATTACTCCATATCGAGGATGGTATCGTGATATCTCAGCTACTGTAGATAGCTCGCAGGATGGCAGCTAGGACAAGAGGGCGCGGGCGCAGGGAGGGCGCGTGTTTGCTTGACCTCGTCACTGTTTGCTCACGTTATCACCTCACGCGCGAACACACCCAGCGCGTCCCTCGTACTTTAGTCAAGCACGTCCTACACTCGAGGGACAGTCACGTACCTACAAATTATTTAGTTTGAGCGTGTAGTCCTTTAGAGCGCCTCAGGACATGTCGCCAGCATACTGCAGAGAGCGACGTCGGCGTGCACTCATCAGCTGTTAGGCTAGATACTGTATCTGTTAGATACGATTATCAAAACTCTAAGATAGGCAAT